TTTTTTTTTTTTTTTTTTTTTTTTCTCTCTCTCTCTAGTTCTGCATTTTATCCATATTAGCCATAACAAGAATGGATTTATTATACTTATTATAAAATAACGTTTACTTGTTAGGTGGAGGAAAAGGGGTTGACCGTGGAGATAGCTGAAAGAATTGGTGATTTTGTGAAGGAAAGGGGACATCCATTGGAGTTATTATCTAAGCTGAAACAGGAGCAGAGCCCTCTACTACAAAATAAAGGATCTTCGGATGCCTTGAATGAACTAGAGATTTTATTTAGTGCTCTTGAAAAGTCGAATTGTGTTGACAAAGTGGTATTTGACTTGAGTCTTGCCAGGGGACTTGATTACTACACTGGAGTAATTTATGAAGCTGTTTTTAAAGGTGGTACCCAGGTAAATTTCTATATGTCATCATCCTGTCTGTTGGCACCTTTCTTGTTTTTGACTTGTTACGCATATGCCGTTATTTGATACGAGTTCCAACTCTGCTTCAATTGCTAGAGAATTTTCCTTGATAATTCAACTGACAGTGATTGGGAGGATTTTGTTGTGTTAGAGCAATCAAAAGAATTCAAAATTCTGTTGGAAATTATTTTTGCTCTCGAAGATCATTTCTCCTTAATGATATTACCTGTAACGATGTGCGAAGATACCATCATGTGTTATGTTGCTGCCTCCTAATACATATTTGATTTGGACGGTGGATGTAAATAACAAATCATTTATGTTTCTCAGATTGGTTCTATTGCTGCTGGTGGACGCTACGACAACCTTATTGGAATGTTTGGTTCCAAGCAGGTCCCAGCAGTTGGTGTCAGTCTTGGTATTGAGCGAGTTTTTGTTATTATGGAACAACTTTTGAAAGATCAAAACCAGGTAATAACTTCGGTAACCATTTGATTTTAAAAATTAGGAACTAGTTTTAGTTGTCAAAATATAACATGGATTCATTTAATTCAATTGTTGGGAAGTTGCAGACTACTCGGGCCACTAAGACGGAAGTGTTAGTGAGCATACTGGGGGATGATTTGACACAAGCAGCGGAGCTTGCAAGTGAGATATGGAGTGCGAAGGTGCATGCGGAATTCCTGGTGAATAAAAGAGTGATGAAGCATATTGATCGTGCCAAGGAGGCAAGAATCCCTTGGATAGTATTTCTTGGGGAACGTGAAGCGAGCGAGGGGATTGTGAAGTTGAAAAACGTGGAAACCTTCGAGGAAGTAACAGTTTCCAGAAGCAACATCATTGATGAACTCAAGAAACGCTTGACCCCTTGATTGATTGATTGCTGTTATAACTCACTAGTTGGGAAGAACTACTACTCTTTTACACATCCATATTTTTTTTTGTATACTCATGAATATAGAACGTAGCCTTAGGTTGGTATCTATCTATATTCATGGCTCACATTTGGGCTGTGTTTGACAACCCAATCCATTTTTGTTGTAAACTTGGTGGCTGAGTTTTTTTTCTCTTTCTCGATGGTGAGACGGGTGGCTGTAGTGAGAGATTCTTTGTGTTATTTGTTGATGCTTTGCCTGAAACAAAGCTTGTGAATGCTGCCGCCGCTGCTGCTATTTGTTTGTCTTCTTATCTTCAGGAGCGACAACACCTTGAGAAGGTAGCAGGTTAGAGTATCTAATTATGTTTTAAAGCTTCATCTCTTATTATTATTATTATTATTATTATTATTATTATTATTATTATTATTATTATTATTATTATTGTGAAATATAAAATAATTACATTTGACTTTTATTCACGGCCATAAATAGAATACATAACTGGTTCCATTCCAGGTGACTTTTTATTTTAATTTAAAATTAAAATATGAATTTGGGAATTTTGAAACTGATTATTCTAAATATAGTAAATAATAGTATTGTTATGTAGATTTGGATAGACACCGATAATCTTGTTTCCATTATAAGGTAGATGCATATTTGAGGAAGAAACGTGGGTCATCAATTTCTAATCTTTTATTGGGGAACATTAATGGAAATTCTCATTTATTTTGTCTCTATTTTTATTTAGTTTTATTTTTTTTATAATATCTTTCAGAATGCTATAAAAGCACCCACTTTCCGTCCTTTGTAATTGTATTCAACCAACTTCTCCTCTCCTCTTCTATTCTCTCCTCATTCTCTTCAATATCCTTGTGAGATTTTGAGATTTATATCAACTCTTTGGACCCTAAGACGAAGGGTATAAAGGTAATTCTACATATATATATATATATATATATATATATATATATATATATATATATTTATTTATCTATTTAGTCTCTATACTTTTAATTGAATGGAAGTCGGTTTAAATATACATATTTTTCAGTGAAATTTTTTACCAAATGTTCCTCGAGTGTATCTAAAATGGTTGAAACGATTTTCTCAATTGTCTTTAACATTAGTGGGTGTATCTAAAGAGCAAAAGAAATTAAAAGCTAATATAACATAGAAATACTTAATATCCAATGGTTGTCATTCTAGATTTAGAAGATGTTTGTTTGTCAACCAAACGGAGAAAGGAGATGTTAGATTTCAGAGCTTTGTAACTGCAAACAAGAGAAGAAAAAATGGAAAGGATAGGAGGAGGAGGAGAAGAGAATTAATGCGGGGAAGATGGAGGATTCAAATACGTTATTGGCAACTCAGATTTGGTTGTAAATGTCAGAGTTTCAGATTTTATATTCTTTAATAAACAAAGAAGGAAAATATATAATATAGTATATAGTGTGTAGTGGCATTACATGGGGGCGCTATTAATTAACAGTTTTTCTTTTAGATATCAAAATGGACATTCCAATCTACTTTTTGTTTTTAGTTTTTGAAGTTAGAGAGAGGCGAAAGATGAACAGTGGAAATGCAATTTTAGAGCGAGAGTTGGATTTGAAATCGAGGAAACAAGATGGAACCGTTTCCAAATGAAAACGAATTTCAAGTTTTCGATCATCAAACGCCTTGTCGACGCGCCCTATACGTTAATCTTCACCTTTAACCATGTATGATTTTACTTCTCTTGTTTTCAATTCGATTCTCCTTCCTTCAACTTCACACCTCATTCTCTCAATTTCTTCTTCTCTTCTTTGACTCCTTCTCATTTCCTCATTTCCGCATTCCCGATGCCGATCGCAATTCAAGGTTTGCATGCGATTTCTCTCACTTCTCCTATGTACGTTTTTATTAATTGATCCATTTTCCCCTTCCTTTTTGTTCTTAATCCATTATCTGCGACGTGATATGATGAAATGAAGTATTGTCTGCTAATTCAATTGGTTTACCGACACCATCAAAACCAGGTTATGATCAACTGGAAGGTCTTATAATTGATCTCGCTCCTTAACTTTCGAAATCCACCTAGATGTGGCCACGACACCGTCCGGTTTTGGTGGGACGGTGTTTCTTTTGTATAAAAAGGTGCTGTTTGATTAGCTCCCAAGATCTCACTTTGTTTTATCGAGAACTTATCATTTTCAGAAAACGGAGTGGGTTTGGAGATGGATCATCTTTAAGAATCAAGTACATGTCAGATTTCCTATACGAATTTTACAGGAAGCTTCATTACTTGACGGTGAAGGGATTTTTTTATTATTATTTATAAATATTTCGTTGTTCTTTACATTTACTTTGGAACTCAACATTTGTTATCGACGTTGCCGCTGAAGTTTTGAAAAACTGGCTGTGAATGATCTGTTATATTTCTGATGAACCTTGGAGCGCCGAACATTATTTAAGAATCCTGATTCTCTAGAATATAATCTGCTTATGTTTCATTTCTTCTCAAGTGTGAATTTACGGAGCTGTTACAAAAGCTACCGCTTCCTTTATTTAAGGGGTGGCTTGAAACAGACACAACATCCTGCTATAACATGCTTGGGTTGAATATTCATTCATAAGTAATCTTCTACTTTTTGTCACATCTGGATAGTTCTATATCGTCGGTCACATTTTGGAAAGTGAGGATCAATGTGAACTCATGATTTATTTGGTGCAGCATACTTCTTGTCCATAGGCAGTGGACGATTTGTGGCCTGATTTGATGTGAGATGCAGCGGTCACGTAGAGCTCTTCTGCAGAGAAGAGCTTTGGAGAAAACTACCGGTGGGAGGAATGGCTTGTATATGTTCTCTCTGTCTTTACTTTTTGTTTTGTGGGGGCTTTTCTTCCTCCTTAGCCTATGGATCAGACAAGGCAACAGCCGTGGAGGTCAGCATCTAACTGAATTTTCTGTATCCCTCTTTTTTTTTTTTTTTTTACAATGATCTGAGAATCTACTTTGGGATTCACTGTTATATAACACTTTCATCTCATATGTTGGACGCAACACATGTTTTTCAGTTCGATTGCAAATTGTGTTGCGCAAGATTCAGAAATTGAGTATATTAGACATGATACATTTATTTCATAGTGATTTTGAATCGGATGGCTTCCCCTTGATTTTTTCCTATTGAATGTGAGTCTGCTCTATATGAGTCGTCCATCAATGTTTGGGTTTCTCCTTAGGGGCCAGTATGCTTGTTTATTTTGAAATTGACTTTGCTTTTCTCCTCTAGTCTTTATCTTAGAAGTTCGGGTTTCAAGTATTTGATAGTTTGAAGAGATTTCAATCTAGGCTGGATCTTTTAGTTTCCAATTATTTTTTATACTTTCTTGGAGACATGGATCTAATGGTTCTGCTAAACAACAGTAAAGGATATACCTGAATTAACTGATCCTATGTACATTTGTATTGTTTTCTTTAGTTAACAACACGGTCATGTAATTAAATGCCAACTTATGCTCGACTTTAATGTTATTTAGATGGCTGCACCGATCTACCAGATAGCATATCAACTTGGAATAAATCCACGAGTGGAAGCTACAAGCATTCTGAAATTATTACTGAAAGCCGTCAGAATAAAAATTGTTCAGTTGCTCTTTTAAAGGATCGGTTCATCGACAGTGCAGAATCTATAGCCTTTGACGATGATATCGTTGGTCGTGAAGAAAATGTAAATCATGACAATTTTGATGAGGATGTACATTTGCTTGCTTTTGGAGAGCAGCCTGATGAGAAGAAAAATGGTTTAGGAAGGAATTTTCAAACTGACTCTCTGAAGGCTGATCGACTGTCTCATGTTTTACCCCTTGGTCTCGAAGTATTCAAAAGTAGAGCATTTATCTCAGAAACCAAAACCAGACCTGGTCAACTGGAAAGTGCTATACATAGGTTGGAGCCTAGCGGTGCAGAATACAATTATGCAGCAGCTTCAAAGGGGTCGAAGGTATTGGGATTTAACAAGGAAGCCAAGGGAGCCTCAAATATATTAGGAAGGGACACAGATAAGTACCTCAGAAATCCATGTTCTGCTGAGGAAAAATTTGTTACTATGGAACTCTCTGAAGAAACGTTGGTGCGTACAATTAAAATTGCTAATTTTGAGCACCATTCTTCCAATTTGAAGGAATTTGAGCTTCTTGGAAGTTCGGTTTATCCTACAGATGTATGGGTAAAGCTTGGAAACTTTACTGCTGCAAATGCAAAGCACGCTCAAAGGTTTGTCTTAGAGGAGCCGAAATGGGCGAGATACCTGAAGTTGAGGCTTTTAAGTCATCACGGTTCAGAATTCTACTGCACACTGAGTGTTTTTGAAGTTTATGGACTGGATGCTGTCGAGGAAATGCTGGAGGATTTGGTTTCGGTTCATGATAATACTTTCATATCAACAGGACTTCCTGCTTATGATGAATCAACGGCGAAGGACAACGACGAACATCATAACTACGACGGAGAAATATCCCCTTTAAGGAGTGACGGTGATATTGTTCAGGATTTGGTTAAACATGATTTACCAGAGAGGTTTCAAGAACTGCGGCATCATCAAGCAGGCAGGATGCCTGGGGACACTGTTCTCAAGATACTGATGCAGAAAGTTCGCTCATCTGAGTTAAGCTTGTCTATCTTGGAGCGGTATTTGGAAGAACTAAATTCCAAATATGGAAATATTTTCAGACAGTTCAATGATGAGACCAGAGAGAACGAGCTACTCCTACAGAAGAGCCGAGAAGACATAAGGAATCTCCTCAGAATCCAGGAGAGCGCTGTATGTTAAATTCTTACTTCCATATAATTCTTAGTTATATTGTTCAAGCTTAATCTCCATAACCTTTCCGTATAATCTAATCCTACTGTCAAATGTGTTCTTTGCAGGGTAGAGATGTTAGGGATCTCATTTCTTGGAGGTCCTTTATTTCTCTGCAGTTGGATAGCCTTCTCAGAGACAATGCAATCCTCAGGTCAACTCCATTCTTCACACTCGCACACATTTTATTATTAGTACTAAGTAATCGGGTAGGAGTTCTTAAGAAAAGAAAATTAGGGAAAGTTTTCAATTTTCACACCTCCCGTACCCTCCTCAATTTTCTATCTTAAACTTTCAATTTCAACATTTTGGAACCTAGACTTCAATTAGTTTTGTAATTTCTACTTAATTCAATTTTTGTTAACTCACCTACAAATTTTAAACAAAAAAAAAAAAAAAAAAAAAAAAAAAAAAAAAAAAAA